ATGGATGGGCAGATGGATGGATAGACAGGTGGGTGGGTGAGTGGATGATGGATGGACAGAGAGAGAGAGATGATGGATAGATGGACAGAGACAGACAGACAGACAGAGAGGCGATAGAGAGATAGATGAGGGAGACCTACCTATCTCTAGGTAGGTGGAGACTGACTGACAGATTGCAGCTAGTTAGCCAAAATCCTATTAGAACAGGACTTCTCTAGCCATCCCATCTCTCTCTGAACGACTGAAGTACCATAGAGGCATTTTAAGAGAGAGAGAGGGAGAGATCAGTAAATGTTGGAATGGGGCGATGGGAGATTACGTTCCTTGCCTGAACTTGTCTTTCTGTGCTGGGATGCCAGTCAGATGCTTTTTGTGAGCATAGCCCATTTCAAAGGACTTGCGAGGACACAAGCTGCTGCGGTCACCCCGGCTGGCCTTTCCTTGCGCCGTAACATCCTGTTGATGGGGAGGAAAGCTCCCCGAGACTCTGCGAGGGCTTTGTTGCCGTTCCTTTGTAGCTCATGAAAGCATTTCTTTGAGCCACTTGGGTGACCTGGGATGACCAGAGGCTTCCTTCCTCTCTTGGTCCTCCCCCTCCCTCCCTCCCTCCCTCCAGCGGCGGTTAGTTTTTCTCATCACATTCATTGTGCCTTTGTGGAGCGGATGGTTTAAAAAGAATGGGTTGGTACAACCAGCCGATGGGAATGACTCTCCTGTCCATGATCCCCAGCCAGTATGGTTGAAGACAATTAAGGGACTGGAACAGTGGCGGGATTCAGATTTTTGTTACTACCAGTTCTGTGGGCGTGGCTTGGTGGGCGTGGCACGGCTTGGTGGGCGTGGCAGGGAAGGTTACCGCAAAATCCCCATTTCCCCCCCACCCCACCCCACTAGCCTGCTTTCCAGCTCCGTTCTCCTGTGCAGGGCAATCAAAGAAGACCCAGCCGGTCAGCTGGGACTCAGGAGGTGGGGTATAGATGGGGACGGGTCCAGTCAGAGGTGGGATTGGCTGGTTGTCCAAACGACTCAAAATTTCTGCTACCGCCGGTTCTCTAGGACCGATCAGAACCTGCTGAATCCCACCTCTGGACTGGAAGCTAAAAGATACAAAGAACAGCTGCAAGAATTGGATCTTGTCTAATCTAATGAAGAGAAGGACTAGGAGGGACGTGATAGAAGTCTTCCAATATTTGAGGGGCTGCCCCAGAGAAGAAGGGGGTCAAAATAATTTTCCAAGGCAGCAGAAGAAACCATGGATGGAAACTAATGAAGGAGAGAAGCAACCTGGAATTAAGGAGAAATGAGGACAATTAACCAGGGGAACTACTCGCCACCAGAAATTGTGGCTGCTTCATCACTGGAGGTTTTTAAGAAGAAACTGGACGGCCATTTGTCCAAAATGCTATAGGTTTTCCTGCCTGAAGCAGGGGGCTGGATTAGAAGACCTCAAAGGCCCCTTCCAACCCTATTATTTGGATTTATTCTGTTAATTTCAGTGCCTCTGGAAAGCACCTGTTTAAAGGAGATGCTTTATTAAAAATAGATCTGGGCAAGACAGATGTTTGAAGGACTGTATGCATTACTCCCGCAGGTTCAAAAGAAAAAGGGAAGATGTGATCTCAGTTTCCTTTTGGGTGGGTGTCCCAGCAGGGATTACTGGCTGAGGTTTGGGGACATGAACTGTCCTAGATGCTAGTCTGGAAGAACAAAACCTCATGTAAAGGGCAGAAGACAAGTGCATTTTGAAATTTGGAACTTCAAGATGAGTGGACTTCAGCTCTCAGAATTCCCCAGCCAGCATGCTTTGAGATGGGTGTATTCTAACTCCCAGAATTCTCACTGACCAGCATCTGATCCAACTAGATCAGAGGTTGTTGAGGTAATTCCCCGTTAGGAGAATGAGCGCATACAGGGAGACGTATTTGAGAGTAGCATTTGAATAATACACATACAGTACACAGATACACTGTACAGTAAAATGTAGGTTTTTACTTCCAGAAAGGTTTAAGCAAAGTTCAAAATAGGCAGTCCAAAGTCATTCACAAGTAAATCAGTCAGTTTTTCAATCCAGGGATAATCCAATAACAAGTTCCAGTGTCAAAAACAGTTCAATATCAGACTTACATTAAATCCAGTAATATCAGTCAATTAGAAGAAATGGAGGAACGGCAAAACTCTCCAACAGAAGGAAACAAACTCACTCAGGCTTCTTCTGAGACTAAGGCTAAGACAACCCAGGTTTCTGTCTCCATCTTATGGCCGTTCGAGTAACTACACCCAATTGCAGTTTTTTGCATGCTTTTAAAGAGACAGTGTTAAAATGTCTATCCTGGTTTATATGTTTCTAACCCAAATACCTGTTAGGTGACTTATATTCCTAACAGAGGTACCCAACCCTGGGAACTTTAAGATGTGCGGACCAACTCCTAGAACACCTCAGCCAGAATGCTTTAAAATGGGTGTACGTGAGTTGTTGGGCTGGCTGGGGAATTCTGGGAGCTGAAGTCCACACCCCTAATTTGCTAGCTGGGGAATTCTGGAAGTGAAAGACCACCCCCCTTAAAGCATTCTGGGAGATGAAGTTCACTCTTTTTAAAGCAGGTTAGCTGACAGTTCTGGATCTTGAAGTCCAATCATTTTAAAGCATACTGGCTGGGGAATTCTGGGAGTTGGCCCACACTTCTTAAAGCTGATTAGCTGAGAATTCTAGACGTGGAAGTCCGTCCATCTTAAAGCATTCTGACTGGGGAATTCTGAGTCTTCACCCATTTTAAAGCAGATTAGCTGAGGATTCTGGATCTTGAAGTACACCCATTTTCAAGCATGCTGGCTGGGGGATTCTGGGAGTGGAAGTCCTCCCCTCTTAAAGCAGGCTGGCTGGGGGATTCTGGGAGTGGAAGCCCAACCCTCTTAAAGCAGGCTGGCTGGGGGATTCTGGGAGTGGAAGTCCTCCCCTCTTAAAGCATCCTGGCTGGGGGATTCTGGGAGTGGAAGCCCACCCCTCTTAAAGCAGGCTGGCTGGGGGATTCTGGGAGTGGAAGTCCTCCCCTCTTAAAGCATCCTGGCTGGGGGATTCTGGGAGTTGAAGTCCACCCCTCTTAAAGCATGCTGGCTGAGGGATTCTGGGAGTGGAAGTCCACCCCTCTTAAAGCATCCTGGCTGGGGGATTCTGGGAGTGGAAGTCCACCCCCCTTAAAGCAGATTGACTGGGGGATTCTGGGAGAGGAAGTCCACCCCTCTTAAAACATCCTGGCTGGGGGATTCTGGGAGTGGAAGCCCACCCCTCTTAAAGCATGCTGGCTGAGGGATTCTGGGAGTGGAAGTCCACCCCTCTTAAAGCATCCTGGCTGGGGGATTCTGGGAGTGGAAGTCCATCCCCCGTAAAGCAGATTGACTGGGGGATTCTGGGAGTTGAAGTCCACCCCTCTTAAAGCATCCTGGCTGAGGGATTCTGGGAGCAAAGGGCCACCCATCTCACAGTTGCCAGGGTTGAAAAACGTGGACGCAAGATCCATTCTTGACCGGATGCCCTGAATCCCGTAATGTTTCCGTTCCTCCCCGCCAGGTTCCTCAGCGACGCAGTCCCAGTCTCCCCAGTCCCTCCTGTTGACAGGAGCCCGACTGCAAAACACGCCCACCCTGACGGACATTTACCAGAACAAGCAGAAGCTTCGGAAGCAGCACTCAGACCCCATCTGCCCATCCCACGCAGGCTGCAGCTATGGCCATTCGCCCCAGCCCACCCGGCCGGTCAGTCTGGGGACATCCCCCACCAAACACATGGGGTCATCTCCACGGAGCTCGGACTGGCCGTTCAAAACTCCCCTGCCGACCATCATTGGCTCTCCCACCAAGGTGAGTGTCAGAAGCTGCTCTGCAGAGAAGCCGTTTGGTTTCGTGGTTAAGGCGCTCCTAGGAGGCCGTGAATTCTAGTCCATCTTTAGTTATGAAAGCCGACTGGGTGACTTTGGGTCCAATCCCCAGGAGACTAGGAGTTCTAATCCTGCCTTAGAGTGGAAGTTAGCTGGGTGACTTTGGGCCAATCACCAGGAGACGGTGAGTTCTAGTC